CAAAATAAGAGCATTAAAAAATGTAAAGTAAACAATATACATATAAACAATGATTTGGTTTTATCAACTGAGTTGATAAAATAAATGTAAATTTGCCACTGTAAAGAATGTCTTGAGCTAACGCTTCAATCGTTAGCCCTTTTGTTAGAGCGACGATGGCTTTCAGCTTTAGAAACTGTTTACGGTAGTCAATTTACATCATTACCTCAGGTTACAAAAAAATTATAACCACCCATTACCAATGCAGAACCACAATTTCTTTCAGCTTTAGAAACTTTTTACAGTAGCCAATTTACATCATTAACTCAGGTTACAAAAAAAATTATAACCACCCGTTACCAATACAACCACAATTTCTTTACAAACTTCCCTAGTATCTATTAGGAGAGGCTGACTCAGACTGTACCCCACAAAGGTCAAATGAATGGTAGTGTAGTCCTAGTCACCAAGCTCCACTCATCTGTGAATACTTCTAGCTACATATTTCATGGTTTTCTGTAGAGCTATTTTTTTTAATCTGCAACATTGTACAAGTAATTTCTGCTGGTCACTTACTGTTCTGTGCAACTTGCTGCAGCCATAAACACTGAAATATATCACACAGGATTAATCATTCAACACATAAAAAGAAAAAGCATAGAATGAAGTTAAAAGACAGCAAACAAAATTACCACATCATTCTCTGTCCAGGCATTAACATCATGTTTGTCCAGAACCTGAAGGGAAATAGAGACAATGTTTTAGGTAGGCATTAAGTGTTGTTGAATGGAAGAGGAGGTAGCTTTTTGGGAAAAAAATGCTTAACTCTTGAAAGGAAAATCCTGGTTTTAGCAAGACCCCACTTAATAGCAGTGCCTCTCTTCACAAGGAAGTAGAAAAGGACTTTTTGATGGATAGCATATCACCCAGGAGAGTGGTGATACACTAAGTCATTTCATGCAGCAGATATTAAGTTACATTGCGGCAGCTATGTGAGTCAGCTCCCAGCAGGTCCACAATCCAAAAGAAAATGTGCATTATAAAATTATGCCCTGTACAAGAATTGCTGTGTTTACTTCAAAAGGCTGATATGAAAGACATTACATGTCTATGTCTGGCATTCAGCCATCACAGTCCAAAAACCAACAAACAAATAACAGCAAAAACAACAGCAACAACATCAACAGCCAAATGAAACAAAAACAATCACAAAAATCAGATAACTAAGGCCCTGGTAAAGACATCCAGTCTTCTCTGTGAAAGGAATGATTTACCAAAAAACATTTCAACAACAACAACAACAACAACAACATTAACTATCAAAGCAAATTTGAATGATTTTCTAACTGACTAATTCAAGAAAAAAACTAGACTAAGTCCAATCTTGAATGATGTACTTTACAATTACGTTTTCATCAATCAGCAAATCATATTTCACTCTAATTCCACGTGTATTAATGTGAAACATGACTATGATGCAGAAAATACACACACTAATAATACTAATGATTCATTACATACCTTAGAAATAGACTGCAGCTCATTAATTTTCTTTTCTTTTTGTTGTACACGTACTTCTCTCTAAACAGGGAAAAACAGCCACTAAGTGTTCAATGCATTCAGCACAGCAAGATTGGCCAGGGCCCATATTTACTGGTCTTCAACTCCTCACAGAAGACTCACATTTCTTCATCACATGATCAAGAAAAAAGTTAAAAATCTTATCCTAAATTATCACGACGCAGTTCAGTACAATAAGTACTTTGCCAACAATAACCACAAAATATCTGCTAATTGACAACTTTCCATTTGAAATAAAACCAAAATTGGTCTTAATTCCTGAGTTGTAGTGTACAGTAAGTGTGTATTGAGAATTTATCTCCTGTTCATGAACAGTCAGCGGGTGTAAGGCGACACAGCAAAATAATTCCATACCTCACGCAGTTCTTTCTCCTTATTTGTTAAATCTCTCTCTAACCTCTTGAGCCTACTCAACGTAGCATCTATTTCATTACTGAAAATTAAGTAAATTAACAACAAAACATAAGTAAAGAATAATTATTAATGAGCTTAACCCTTTAACTCCCAGAAGTGATTATCATGGAACCTCTCCCAATAACATCTATACATCATCCAGCAACAGGCAAATGAGAATACCCAAACTTATCAGGAAGAAATTGTTATCTTGATCTAATACCAAATTCACCAAACCTTTTGGCCAGGATTTGTGTAAAAGCTGGAGGGGAGAATTAAAAATCAGATCTTGGAAGTTAAAGGGTTAAGATCTACAGTGCAAACACCAAAAGCTCCTTACAGCTGTAGCTGAGGAAAAATTGAAACAACTCCCCATCCTTGTTCATTTAAATGAGTAGCTAGTCGACATTGTTGAAATTATTTACAGAGTTCTCTCTGTAATCAATAGGGATCCTGCTGAACCAACAAAAAGGTATTTATTAACAGACAGAAATGTCTCTGAATATTTGATTAACCTACCTCCAATTCTTTTTCTGTTCAATGAAGGAGTCAGTTTCCTGTTGTAGAGAAGCTGGAAAAAGATAAAAATGACATAATACAAAACAATATCATAAGAATGCCGTAACAAAAGGTACTGAGGGTTTCTGATGATAACCCCCAAATGGTTTCTCTCCTTACTGTGCCAAAGACTTTCACTTATCACTTTTAGGTCATTGTCCCAAACATGACTGTTTGTCATAGGTTGGTGATAGGTATCTAACATTAAAATCTAATTTGATTTTACTTGTTCGTGTACAATTGCATGCAATACTTAGTTATTAATACTATTGTACCTACCATCTCCACTCATGGATTTGAGTTCTGACAGAATCTCATTAAAATTTGGACGTTCCTGTCAAAAGGAAAAAGTAACAATTTCAGCAAATCAACCATAGAGTGCAATACATGTGAAAC